ACCAACTTGGTTATAACATCATAATTCTGAGGTCCCAAGTTTTAAGTCCGTAACAACATGGTGGTTCATATCTCAACTACACATGGCCATGATGGTGGGTAGTTAGCAACTGCTAGCAGGTGCACCACATGTCTACACATTTAAAAGTATTTGAAAAGTGTGCCAGAGTCTCATTTGGTTATTTATACTAGCTGATAAGGTTGGACTTCTGCAAGAATCAGGGGCCATTGAAGCAATTTTTTCTTCAGAATAAAAAAAAATGTCCAATGCAGGTTTCGATCCAGAGTCATGCCTGTCGAAAATCAACAGCTTATACCACCTTGCCCACTCTTTGCATAACAACATGGTTATAATAGCATAAAATCTTGGTCCGAAGTTTTTTTTTTTTTTACATGTGGTACAGGCCATGATAATCAGGGTGGGTAGAGGTAGGCAACTGCTGTGTGTTGCTGTAGCAACTTTAGATGTACATAGAATGTGTACTACACCTTTTAGCATACTTACAGTAACTGAGGTAATGCACTTACATTTTTCTGTTTTCTGACCACTATGATTATCATGGCTTGTATCATTTACTTGGGATGATAATAAGTACAGACTAACCTCATTATAACAGCAACTTGGTTATATAATTCTAAGGTCACACACAAACATGATTATAACAACATAAGATGATGGTCCCGATGTGGTGTAGGCTGAACCCCCAGAACCAACATCAGCAGCCCAAGGTGGTGATCCTGTGTGGTCCCCACCACCAAGGCACCCAGGGCATCACTACGGGCCGCCACTTGGTGAACCACGGGGTGGAGGTCACCCTGCTCATCTCCCCTGTGCCCTGCGGCATGAGTCAGCACCAGGAGCTCAACCTCTACCGCCTCTCTGGGGGCAGGGAGGCCTCGGAGGTTTCTGGTGTGTTGATATTGTGGGCTTTTTGAATGTGTGCTCTAGGGAGTGTGTGTGTGTATTGTACCCTCACATGACTGTGTCTGTCCAGAACTCCCCCAAGATGTTGACCTGGTGGTTGGTGCGATGGACGGCCACAATGCCCTATCCCTAGCTGTGGATCGGGCTCTGCCTCGATGGGCGCAGGCTTGCGCAGCCCCTGCCCTTGTGCTGGACCCTCCCCCACTTCCACGGCTCACCATAGCCAGGCCTAAGTGGTGTCTAGTTCCCATCCTGCCCTTCCCATATGCCGAGGACCTCTCCATCTACCTATGTGACCTGGGCATCCCACGGGATGTCTTCCAGCGGCTAGGCATCCAGTACAGGTCCCCCTTCGGTTCCAAGTTCCTCATACCCCTCTACAAGATCTCTAAGGCTTCCTAAGAACTCAGTGAACCTTCTGTGGAATCAAATAAGTTGGAATTCTGTCATCTTGGGCGACACACCAAGGTGTTCTTTCTTCCCAGGGAGCGGCTATCTTTGTTGTCTTTCATCCTCGCGCTTTTGTTCTTAATTATATTTCTGTTTCTTCTCTACAACAAAAATTTTCATTTTTTTTTTAAAGACCCTTAAACTCTTTGATTATTTTATTTATCAAACTGATTTTTTTTTTAAATATTGGATTTCTCTTTGGACTTTCTCCCTCCCTCCCAAAAACCTGCCAATTCTCTCTCTCAGAGTTAAAAAGTACTGTGTTACCAAATGATAATACACTGCCGAATATGTTTACCATCTTATAACATATTCCTTTGTTTTAATGGCTACAAAAATGTTTTTAACGCGTACAAAAATGTTGATATATTTCTATATTTATTTCATATATTTTTTTAAATACTGGAAAATTCTCCCTACGCTTAAATCATTAATTGGCCTTTCATTTTTCACACATTGTCACATAATGTATATCTATTTATAACAAAAATAAAAAATCTTTACATTTTAAAAATCTCTTTGAAACGTATTTACATAACATGCTGTTACAATTTTATTCAAAACTTGACTCGCACTGGGGAACTTAGTAAGCAGGAACATAATTGGTTATCTCCAAAAACCTCTAAAATTCACCTTTAATAGATAACCTCACATATTGGCATTGAGGCTGCTAACACACTAAAGGCACAAGAGAACCTTTGCCACAGAATACTAAACTTACTTATAAAGACAGTAGCCAAATCAAAAATAAATAAGAACTGTAGGATCCCACCTAAGCACAGCTGATACAGTGGAGTGGACCCAGAACAGAAATAGACAGCACCAAACAACACTAACAAGATTTAGAACAAGTCATCTCAAGCCATTGAGATGGATTATAACAAAAAAATCTACCCCACTTGTGTGTGTGTGCCCAAAGTGTAGCTTGGCTCCAGAACACAATTTGGCTTGCATTAGTTGCACTAAACAGGACCTTTGGGAGAGGCCATGTAATCTTTGCTGCACAAGGGGATAAGAAACACAATTTGATCGAGTGATAAGGTGCAATTTGGATATTGGGTGAGAAGTCCAAATAAGTATATACAGTAGAACCTCTATGAGAGGAAACCTCTCTACAAAGGACAGTTTTCATTTGCAGAATTACCATTTTCACTATTTAGTAGCTCTCCAGTAAGAGGACATCTCTCCCTAAAGGACACTTTGGCACTTCTACTGTACTTATACTACATCTAGCTTAGTGAAGCTCTTTAGTCTGAATATGGTGCATTACTTTGATATATTTAACCAACTATAATTTAACACCGACTTTCTTTAATCCAACCGGAACTTCTGATCCTTTGGGGTGTTACTTTATAATTAACAGTGAAGTTGTATATCATCTGAATGATATCGTACGATCAATTTGCTCATCTTGCATCCTAATTGATCCCTTTTTAAAAAATACAAACAATCATCATTATATAGTTCTGGAAACAACCTGTACAGAAACATGGGAGGCCAACCTGCACTATGTTGTTGTTGTTCCTTATCCCCTTGTGTAAAGGTTGCACGAATTCCATGAGTCCATGCTCCTCGGGCAGAATGGGGTGTAGGGAGCAGCTTTCGTTGATCATAGCACCATGATCCAAGCACATTTTGGTGAAAGTCTGACTTTGCCTGTAATTTGAGGCCGTTCCTAACATGAAAGCAGATGCCTTTGCTGCCTACTCTAACATGAGTACAGACACAGCTTCTCTGTATCCCTGGAGAGGGACCCTTGCTGAGGTCTATCAACTGGGTCAGTAGAACTCAGGATTTTTAAAGAGGTCTTTCTCCTCTTTCTAACTATGCTGCTGTTGGTCTGTGACTGCTTATTTGTCAGAGTTATTCAGCTTGTTTCGCAGCTAGTCTTCATATCTGAAGGTCATTCCCCTATCCGCCACCTGGGGACTGTAGCAGTCAGCTCTGCTGAGGCACTATATATTTCATGCAAAGAGTCAACATGCACAATTATGAATTTTACATTCTCCTAGAGCAGTGATTCTCAACCAATGTGCCGCGGTAATTTTGTGTGCCGCGAAATTCTAAAAATGTGCCGCCGAATTTTAGTCATATGATTATGTTCACGTTTGTATTGGTTTTTCTTTTTTTCTTTTTCATTTTTTTACTTTTTAAAATAACGAAATTAGCAAATTGAATGTTAGAGATGTATATTACTTATATTTTGCATAGAAATATTGATACATAATTTGAATTTTCTTGCATTCAAGTTAGCAAAAGTGTGCCGCGAAATTCTAAAATTGTGCCGCCAAATTTTCAAATCTTTTAAATAATGCCGCAACAAAAAAAAGGTTGAGAATCACTGTCCTAGAGATTATAGATTGAGACATCACCTCCGAATCTTCATTACTGTTTGAACAACTTATTTATTTGGACGCAGTCTCGTTATTTTATAAGATTGTTTTGTTAAGAGATTTTTTAAACCCTTATTGTCCAACAAACAAGGTTGCATCCAATTTACATGATTTTGTCAGCCCCCTCATCTCTTGAAAGGTGAGAGAGAGATGTCTAAATTTAATACACCTATCCCCCAATTTACACGGTACTTGTTTTACACGTTTTCGCTTTTACACGGTTTTCCAAATAAGTTTTTTTTTGTTTTTATCGCACTATACTAAAATGCGATATTCTACTCTATACTACCTATGTTGAAAAGAATATTGGGAGGCTCTGATTCATGAGGGGGCGAACACCTATTCAGATTTGACAGTTTAATATACACCTATCCCTCGATTTACACGTTTTTCTCAGGAACGTATCTACCGTGTAAATCGGGGGATAGGTGTACTTAACTTTATGAGTTGTTAAGAAAAAGGCATCTCCTGATTAAACCAATTTTCAATTAAATCAATGATTAGTTGATATTTATTATCAGAGATCAGCAACTTTTATTTGCACAATCATGAGATGCCTATCCACCTGATCCCAGTATAATTTCACTTTGGCACTGTTTTATGAGTTATGTTTTGACATTGAGTGACAGACTGATGTCACCATAGGTGACACTACATCTCACAAACTCTCAATGGATTTAGACAACCAACAATCCACTGACTTATTTGGTTGAGGAGCTACAATGTCTTAAGAAATGTTGGATGGCACTGAGATAAGCCAGGTAGGGCCAGAAGATAATCCACAAATTTCCCTATTGGTACAAGATGTCCCTCTTTGTTTTTAGTTGTTTACTCAGGTGCAATACTTTCATATGTTCTTTTTGTCTTTTTTTTTTGCTTATCTCTAGTACATGTAGTATAGGCCATGATAATCATGGTGGGTAGAGGCTGACGACTGCTTTTACTTTAAGTGCACCACATGTGAAAAGCAGTTCGACACTCTTCTTTATCATTTTAAATTTTGCTATTGATAGGCACAATTTGTATTACAGATTAGAAACACAAGGCATTACGACCAAATCCAAATAAATAAATAGTGTGTGACATTTGGATAACAGAATTTTGTACTTTTGTCTGATGATAGTAACAACGCTGTTATTGAAATGTCAAACAATATTTATTAATTTGAATTTGGTATTAATACCCTGTGTTTCAAATTTAGCTATTAATTAAGTTCATTGCTAATTTTAAAAATGTCCAAACAGGGACCCTGGACTATTAGGTTAAAAGCCTAACGCTCTACTGACTGAGCTACCTGGTCCAGGGTTTGAGTCCCTGTTCTGGCGTTTTTTAAAATGCCCAGGTAGTTCATTGCTAATTGTTTTCAATTAACTAACATGAGAGGTTCACAATTTAAAAATTCCATTAAAAAGAAAGAAAAAAAATTCAGCCATATATATTTGAAAGAGGTTAAAATAAGTGTTCATATTTATTTAAATATATATTTACATGATTTTTAAAAAATATAAAACATAAGTTGGCGAGGAAAGGGAGGGTTTCTGGTAGGACAGAACAATGTGGACAACAACTGTTCAGTTTTTGGAGTTGTAGGCGGCAAACTTCTGGTTGAGGGGGTTCTCTGGGGACTTCTGCCATTCTTTCTTCAGCATCTGCTTGAGCTGGGAGAGCCTGAGGTTGGGGTTCTCCTTCTTCAGCTGCTCCAGGTGCTGGTCCTCGAAGGCTTGGTAGGCCGCCTTCAGCCGCCTCTCTGGGTGCCTGTCCATGGCAGTGTTTCCAGAGCTGTCATCACACAATTGGTTGGATTCTTGCTAGCAGGAAGGCCATCATCTATAGGAATGACTAGAGGAGAACAGAACAAGTTGTTGTGACCACAGCATTAGGATGACAAAAGTACTTCTCTACAAACTTTACTTTTACCTAACAAGGATTTATAGATTTGAAACACAAGTTACTAAGACCAAATCCAAATAAATGGTGTGACCTTTCGGTAACAGCGTTATTACCATCATCAGACAAAAGTACCAATGAAAAAATATCACAGCATGCTTTTAAATTATTTTAGGGTTCTTATCATTCTATCACACTTGATTACAATAACTATTTAAAAGCATGCTGTGATATTTTTTGCATTCAGTACTTTTGTCTGATGAGGGTAACAATGCTGTTACTGAAAGGTTGCACACTATTTATTTATTTGGTATTATTACCTTGTGTTTTACCTAATTGTCCTCACATTTTACTCCAACCCAGCATGTGTACACACAGGGGTGGGGGTAGATCACAGTGGAGACTTACTCCAGGATCTGGATGGCCTCAGTCACGGAGCGAGCTTGCTCCTCATCCAGGTGCAGCCGGTTCAGGTTCTCCTCCAGTTGCTCTTCCTGCACAACCACTGCTGGCTTGGACTTGGGAGCTGTGGGGGCTGCTGTAACATCACAACACCCTGGTTCCTTACACATTCTACACAACACTGTTCTTCCCATGGAAGGCAGCTTCTCCCTAACCTCCTTCCTAATCTTTTTTTTTTTGAGACATTATCATTTATGGGAGATTGTCTTATATGGTGTTTTATTAACCCGGCAGCGGTCGCGCCCTCTTTTATACCTTGAACGGTCGCGGTGGGTAAAATTTACCCACTTTTAAAAATCTAAATAAATCGAATATTCTTTCCAATATTTTAATGTTAGAATAATGATTTGTCAATTAAATATCTTTACATAAAATCCTGTGATATAATAATCATATTTTATTTATTTTATTAATAACAAATCAAAATATCAAATATTTATGATATATTTGACTATTTTATAAAAATAAAAATATATATTGAAGATAGGTTATAAAATATAAATCTGTATGAAAGTTATCACTTCCTTTCATAGAAATTAGGACTTGTTTCGTCCTTTATGACATTCTTGACAAATTATTACAGAGTGTTCCTTACACAAAAAAGAAAAACAGTCCTGGCAATGTTGAATTGTTTTTCTGTCCTTATTTTCTTTCTGGCATTTCTTAAATCGATGTCTTTCTCCTATTTTTGGCTTTTAGATGGACCTGGCTCTAACAAATTAAAAATATCTGATGCCTTTTCTCTTATTTCACATGGCATTCTTCCGCTTACTGTGCGAACTTTGACCATCTCTTCAATGAGATCTAAGGATAAGGTTTTCAAAAAATGACGTCTTGATTTAACCTTTGATGCGTTGCCATTTGCAAAATGAATTATCTGGAATTTATTGCCCCAATATTTAAAAGTGAATAAAAAATAACCATGGGCCATCTTCTTGAATTCTAGCACAGTTATATGTAGCTGTCATTTGTCCATCACATCTACACCACCCTTTGTCATATTATAAAACATTATCATCTCTGGCTTTTTCAATTCTCCTGTTGAATCATCTATATTTGCATCGTGGTGCATAGTTGAAAGCATAAGTACAACTTTATTCTCTTTAGGTTTGTATGAAAGAAGTGTCATTTCACTTTGAAAGCCAAAAATACTAGTGTGTACATTTCTACCTCTGCTGATGACAAACTCTGAGGGGATTTACTTTTTATTTCTTTTTAAAGTACCAACAATTGTTAGTCTATATTGGTGTAAAAGTTTTAGAGATAAAGAATAACTGGTGAACCAGTTATCCATTGTTACATTGCGGTCAGTTCCCTTGATTGGCTCACACAATCGTTCCACAACGTCACTTGGACTGTTGCTGACATTGTAAGGACCTTCAGGGTTTTTTCCTGAATAAATCTCCAAGTTACAAGTATAAAACATTTTTTGAATCCACGAGAGCAAATAATTTTATTCCATATTTATTGTGTTTACTCGGAATATACTGCCTAAAATTGCATTTCCCTCTGAAAGCGTCAAGCTTTTCATCCACCGTTATATATTCCGAAGGAGAATAATGCTTTTGGCAATTTTTTACAAAAATATCAAGAATCAATCTCACAGCTGCTAATTTATCTTGACGAAGTCTTATTTCTTGTAGCTTTGTCATCAAAACGAATTACTCTGAGAAGAAATCGGAATCTGTTTTCAGACATAGCTATTCTACACAATTCAAATCCAGTACTATCTCTTGCCCATGCATCATCTGTATTCAATTTATTTGCTTTCATGACCCCAAGAAAGTAAATAATTCCCAATAAAGCTTTAATTTCATGTAAGTTTGTCAAATTAGCATCTCTTTCTCTGCTATAGTTCTGCTGAATATTCCTAATGTAAATGTTAGTATTTGTAACTATGCATTCAAGTATGTTGTCATCTATAAAGAGATTCCAACAATCTAATATCGATTTAGTATTTTTTTCTTCACCCTTTACCCCTGGTAGATGTGTGATAATATTTTCACTGCGAGTTTGAACATATTTTGGGGGAAGAGCTTTCTTCCATTTAGTCTTTTGGTCCTTTCCTATATAGTAATTGAAGCTTGGATCCTTATTGTTTTCTTCTTCTGATAATGTATACTGTTCAGTGTCGGTACTCCAATTCCTCTCTTCTATATTATCATCAGTTTCCGATTCCTCATAATAGGGATTTGGAATATTAATATCATCACGAAAAAATCAGCATTTGAAAGCATTTTATGTAAAATAATGTAAAAAAAAGGAAATAAAATATAAATACAACCTCATTGTTGGAAGAATAGATTGTATTATTGCACTTGGGGCAGCAAAACCAAACAACAAGAAGCCAGAAAGTAACCCGAAACTTAATTACGCAAACCAAAATCGATAAAAGGTCGCGCTGGGTAAAAATTACCCAATGACGAGAACTCAAAAGGTCGCACTGGGTAAAATTGACCCAAACATGGTAATAAAATGAATATATGTCATAAAATTTAAATTATAGGTTTATTATAATAATCTTTAAATAGATTTAGAAAGGTACTGAGAATATATATTTTAAATATATATATTTTTTAATATAGAATTATTTTCTTAAAGTTCCTTCTGGGTAATTTTTACCCATTGCGACCGCTTAAGGGTTAAACATAAGGTAATAAGACCACAAATTCAAATAAATAAATAATGTGTTCAGTAACAGCATTGTTACCATCATCAAAGAAAAGTACTGAATGAGAAAAAATATCACAGCATGTTTTAAATAGTTACTGTGTATTCGAGTGTGTAAACAAGGTAGTATATAACAAGAAAATAGTTTTCTAAGAACTCTAAAATCTATCTTTTTTTACGCACTTGATAACATGCTGTGATATTTTTTCTCATTCATCACTTTTGTCTGATGATAACAACGCTGCTCACACATTTATTTGGTCTTATTACCTTGTTTCTAATCCATAACAGACAATGGTTCTATCCCCTTAACTTATTTGTTATTTGGAGTTAGTCTTGTTGCCACACAGCTTCCAATTCCAGTATACAACTGTGCTGTTTCTTAGGTAGCATATTGATGAGCAGAATGCCATATGAAGGCTGAATGTGGGGGGGGGGTTAGTGGTCTAAACCAGGGGTAGGCAACCTTTTGAGTCAGAAGAGTCAAAAATTACAATTAACAAAATTTCAATTTTTTTAAAGAGCCACAAAATGTTTTCTTGGAAACAATAAATAGCACTTGTATAAACCAAGTTTTTATTTATGCGAGTACTACACGCAGCTTCACATCAAAGAGTCGAATATGTCTCAAGAGCCGCAGGTTGCCAACCCCTGGTCTAAATCACTGGTTTTTGACCACTATGACCCAGGATCGAATCCTGATTTGGGCACTTTTTTTCTAATTTAAAAATGCTCCAATGACCCCCGATTCTGGCAAAGTCCAACTCCAGCATCGAGTGCAAGTAACCAAATAGGGCTCTGGCAAACTTGTAAGTGCAAAAGTGCTTTTACATGTAAAGTCATATGGTGCCCTTACTGTAGAAGCAGTTGCCAACTTCTACCCACCATGATTATAATGGCTTATACCCCATGTACTAGGGATAATAACAATTAAAAAATAAATAAAATACAAAATGTTACAAGCATATGAGTACATTATTTTTTAGAAAATATGCTCATTTTCTGAAAAAAGAAAAAAAAATTTCAATTTGATGCAAACATTTGAGTACAACTCTACAAATTACCTTGCAAGTGGCCTATTTAGACCCTAGCTGAGCACAAAACTTACGTTTATCTTTGAGGAAGGTGATGTCGGCCCTGGTGATCTTGGGTTGCGGGGCGGGCTTGCTGGACTTGAGGGTGCTCATCTCCTCCTCCAGCAGGGCCTTGGTGGCTTGTTTCTTCTGGAGCAGATCCTGCTTCTTCTTCTCCCGGTCATCCTGGACATTTGTTAACAACACT